TACATTTGTACCATCAGCCAAATTCACTGGTAGTCCAAATGACTGCTTTTCTACAAGAAATTATTTTATAAACTTGAACAAAAGCATTGAAGGAAGAATTGTAAAATAATTCAACAGTAAAGGTCTCACTAACTCCAATAAAACTTGTATTTTACTATTTTTATGCAAGAATTTTCATTTTCTATTAGTGGAAAAACCTGGTAGGCACACTTAACTATCAGACACATAGCACTTTCCACTACAAAGACTTTCACAACTTTTTTGAGAAGCTCTGACACTTCCCTAGTCTGCAGGCAGCCTTTGAAGTTCCCTGGAACAGCAGAGATGCTCTTTGTCTCACAGCAATCCATTCAAGTTAAACTGAACTGTTTTCCTATGCCTGCTTGCTTTTTAAATCAAGTATTAAAAAAGATGGCCTCTCAAAAGCCACAAAGGGCTGGGCACCTGGTACCTCTGACAGAACAGAGGCGAGTGCGCTGTGAGCACTGGGAGGCTGCTGAGGCTGAAAAGCAGAGGCAGGACACAGCAGAGAGGAGGATGAAACAGGTCGGACTTCACCTGTTGTTCCCCTACACGAAGCACAGAACCCAAAGGTCCTTTCCCCATTCATCCAGTAACAACCTCACCAAATAAGGCAATTACCCAAATTAGAAATCACCACTGAAGGCTCCAATCCCATTTAGGGATTTTTTTAAAGTCAACAAGGGAAGTTTATACCTCCATGTAGTGTAATTTTACAAAATAAAACCCAAACCAAACAAACACACAAAAGGGGCTATGCCTTCCAATACCAAGACGTTCCGTGTTAGAAACTAATTTGCAAGGTTATTTGGGCTGAAAGTAAAGCTCTTGAAAATCTGGAAGCACCACGTTTAGAACAGCCTATTACTTTAGCTCCATTTGCATTAATCCTCCTCTCAACTATTAAAATCACATACTACTCTTCCTGCAAATCACTGCCTCGTTCAGTGAGCAGGGTGGCTCGTAACAGAACTGTGTCTGCACAACCCTAAATCAGGTATTTGCTAACTTACACGTCTAACTCTGCAACCAATGGATTTGAACAGTCATTTTCAAAGGTAGATTAATTTGTGTGTAATGCTATAGGCACACATGGTGCTTTACAGATGCAAGGAAAGATACAAAAATTGCCCCAAAGAAATTTTGGTTAAAACACATCAAAGCAACACTGAACTTTAGAACATGATAAAGTGCACGTAAGACAGACGAATAAACCAAGAAATAAGCTGATGTTTCAATTTACAATGCTTAGTTGATAAACATTGACAAGTACTGTTAGAAAACCTCCACTGCTGCTTAAATTTACAGGGCTTGACTTCACTCTATTCATGCACACCCAGTGATTTCAATGGGATCACACGGAGACAGCAGGTTTCACTGGGACCTTATATCTAAATTAAGAATTAAACCTAATACATCAACTTGTCACACCAAATCCTAAGCCCAGCAAATGGGTGGGCTGAAATATGACACACTGAGGTAACCCTGCTGCTGCCCACAACACACCACCTACAAATTTGGAGGAAAAAAGGTTTCAATTCACCTGGGACAGAAACCTCTAGAGCCAAAGAATGAACAACGGCAAAATTCTACCCCAGAGCAGTAAGAGCCAACCTTTTACTATTTTTTTTAAATTATTTTTATCTTGAAAATGGCATTTCATCAAGCATGCTCATATCCACCTGCACTACATAAATACTCCCAAAAGTTCAGAAATTTTTTCCAAATCAAAAAATCTGAAACTCTCCGTTTTCCAACACCGCTGATTCCAAACTTATCCTCATATTACTGAACCTAACAAGAGTGTAGCAAATACCCTTCAGCAGCACACAGTACCACTCTAGAACCAGTGAGGAGAGGAAAAGGAGGACTCAAACCTCAGTCCTCCTCTCATATACCAATTAGCAACATAGATTCTTCAAATGGCACTTACTGGACACTTTAGATGTTAACACATGTGGCAGAAAGGACTCCAGCTCAGTCTCCTATATCAATATTGGTTCTGCAGTGCTCATAGGGATAAAGTATATTTTCTGTTAGTTAATCCCATTGTCCAGGAAGCAGTTTAGCTGAGCACCACTGTAACTGAAGTAATACCCCATTTCCTGCCCTGAGAAAAGATGCAGTTTTGTCCTGCATAACACAATTCAATTAATTCTTGTGCTATTGCCAAGTAATACAACTAATTTAAACAAATACTGATGATGCAGGTAAATTTTAGTCATGTCAGGATCTCGCAGGGCAGTGCAGTTTCTCCTCCTAATTTGGACCTAATCACGTGCAGTAACACGGAAACCATGCGCTTCATCTTGCTGGGGATTTTGCTAGTTCTGTCCCGCCACGCTAAAAGTAATGTGTGATGCAACATCACTGCAGCATCAGACTCCGCAGTGGAGACACCATCAGAGACAAACAGCAAGCTGCCAGGTAGCCAGGTTTGGGGGAGTCACCACTGAACCCACGTTGGTGTAACAGCACTACAGCTCTGGGGGCCAGGAGAGGCAAAGCATAATGAGCTCCAAGCATCTTGTACAGGGCACCTTCAGAACTGTAATCACACGTGCATCCAACTAACCTTTGGGAACAGGCACAGCGAGAGGGCAGACAGCTACACTGTTATGTTCTGCATTTATGCTGTCAGTCAAGATCTGAAAATACTTCAGCTGAGTAGCAGGCTTGCACTGGTACTCACACTGCAAGCATACATAGCTCACATCTTAATTTTCTTACTGGCCTTTTCATAAACCTGTGCGAGTTCAGATCTTTATCTCACCTACTACTCCAGTTTTGTGGCTGAAATAGCAGATGTGTACTCTTGCTTCGTGTCCTTGCCGTTCACTGCTGTCTTTAGCATAATGACTACCCCATAACCACATCTAAATTTGCGTGCATCTACCACCTCTTTTCACCCTTCAGGCAAAAACAGCATCTTGCCCTAAACAATTGTGCAATGCATAGCATCAGGACAGAGCTGCAAAAACTCCACTTTGTTCAGAAACACAGGCAATGAGTAGATGAATGCATGCATGCATCGCTTCGGAAATGGGCTCCGCGCTCACACCATCCCCTCGCTGACTGTGGGCACACTCTTCCCAGCATTTAGGAACCACAACACGTTTGAAGCAGCACACACTTGCTTCTTATTCTGCATCCTCTGTAAATGAGAAGTATTCCTCCCCTTCTCTGCACAGAGTATTCTGCCTCGCAAGACATTGTTCACAGCATCGAGACACACATTTTACCATACAAGATACCTGGTGCACAGTGCTAAGTGCAGCATCTCCTTGCAAAGCACCTATAAGCTTCCACTGTACAGTCTAATTTATAACCCCCACCTAACGTGACTGTGGCAGCAATAACCCTTTTACAAGTGTCCTGCAGGAACTCACAGCATCTTCACACGAGCTATCAAAAAATTATTATCAGCATTGTTTCCTCTAATCCACACTTGGTTAGTAATGTTATTACAGCACGTTAAAAGTACAGAGGCTGCTTACCCCTCTTTGTACAAATTCCAGTAATAAGTGTTGCAAAATTAGCAGGATTCCTAAGAGTCACACAGCAAAGCAGCAGTTTCTGACTGTGTGTCTATGAGAGTGCCCTGCGTTCAGACAAATGAGCCTTCTCTGCTGATTGCATTCACAGCTGTAAATACCCCTACTCCATCACTCATTTTATTCTTTTACACATACAGTCTTCTGCAGCTGTTACAACTGGTGTCAGGTGCATGCTCTAATACAGAGCTTGTAGATCGGTTTGCTCTTAAACTTTCATGTAAGAACCAAGAAATTTTGGAGACACACTTAGCAGAACCTTTTCCTAACTTCAGTATACTAACAAGCTCTGAAACCATGCATGTTCACATACTACTATTTTTAAGAAAAGTTACTGTGATGTGCTGTCCCATTGCAGCTCATCAGTCCCCACAATTTAGATTTCACCTCTACAAGTCTAACAAAAAAGGCCTATTAAGTTTATTATATTTTATGGAAGGCAAACCGAAAATTCCCTAGTAAAGAGCACTCTAAATGGATTTCGACTCCAGAAAAGAAATTACTATTGCTTTTCTCGTAGGGGCAAGCAATGGTGCTACTCCAGGACAGGGGGTTTCCAAGAAGCAATGCAGCGCCTTACAGACACAGAGTATTCTTGCGTGAAGACACGGCTGAGGCACCACCGTTGGGTGGGTTTGCACACACAGACAATAAAAGCAACTTTCACGCTTAGGCATTACCGGGGCTGTTCGCATTCCGGATTCGCACATCAGAACTTGTCCAGCCGGGCCCGTCCGGAGGCGCGCGGGCCGCGCCGACGAGCGGTGCCTTTGTCCGCCGCGGAGGGGCTCACCCGCCAGCGCGGCCCCCGCCACCGCGGCGCGGGGAGCCCGCCGGGCCGCCCCGCCCGACCCCGGGGACGGCGGGGCGTGCGGCGGCCCCGGGAGGCGGAGGGACCGGCATCCCCGAGCCGCGCACGGCCACGACGGGGCACAGCACAGACCCGCTGCCCGCGCTGGTGCACGGTACGGTCCCGCGACTCGAGCACGGCCGAGACCCGCTGCCCGCGCCGGGGCACGGCACAGACCGGGGCTCCCCGCTCGTACCTCCGTCCCCGAGGCTGCCCGTACGTACCTGCTGCCCGCGGCACTCGCGCCGCCAGCGCCCGGCGCGCGCCCCGCGCGGTACCGGCGGCCGCGCGGGGAGGAACCCGGGGACCGCCCGCGCGCGATCCCGCGCGCGCCTCCCGCCGTTCCTGCCGTCCGGAGGCGCGCGGGCCGCGCCGACGAGCGGTGCTGGGGAACCGCGATGCGTGAGGCGCCCCGTGAGGCGCCGCTCGGCGCCCAGACCCCCCGGCCCCTGCCGGAACGCCGCTCCGGCCGCGGCACTGCGGCCCCTCAATAGAGGCGGGCGCGACCCTCGCACCGCCCCAGGCCGGGCCGCGGCTCGGCTGGCCCCG